GGTGTCCTTGTTGTGTCTGTCAAGATAGGACCATGCTTTGTTGAAGACCAAGAAGCTATGTGCTGTCCGGCACCTACATGTGAATAACAGGCTACATTCCACATAGGCATTAAAGTCACATTTTACATTTCAAATTATATATGTCACATTGAAAACGCTACAACAGTGCAAAACACAATAATCTCCACAAACCTTGCAGTTTCATGCATATGAATTTGCTTACATTGGAATAAATTGGTTTTAACCATTGTTGAAACTACCCTTAACTAAAACCTTGTCTGCTTTTTTCCGGTTATACTTAAGGCATTGAATGAAAATCAGATGTCTGAGATGATGAGCTGAGTGTGGACCTGCTGTATGGAGGAGCCCCTGGCTCAGCTGAGGGGCCCCATCAGCAGCCACACGGAGGAGCCCCTGGTCCAGCAGAGGGGCCCCATCAGTAGCCACACAGAGGAGCCCCTGGCCCTGCAGAGGGGCACCATTAGTCCCCACATGAGGCCCATTACCTGTTCTTGTCGTGCAGCTTCCCAATTTCGTTGGTCTGGATGAGCAGCTGCTTCTCAAGCTTGTTGGTGGACAGTGAGTTCTCCAGCAGCTGGATCTCGAGCCGTGAAGTTTGATTTAGGACCTGCAGCCAGTTTTGTGCATAAAAGACGTGAGATCATAGTTATGAGGCAGGATTTTTCTACACACACCATGACATTTAAAACCATTCCTTTCCGCACTAGTGCACAAGATCAGACACCAACAGACACATACACATACAGAAATGCCAGGGCGCACACGCACACACACATATTCATTATTATTCATGTATTCATATCTTTGTGGGGACCATCCATTCAATTCTATGGGCATAGCCCTAATCCCATCTCGACAACCTTAACCCCACCCAGCCCTAACTTTAACCATAAGTAGCCAAACAAAATACAAGACTTTAGGTTTTTGGTTGCAGCCACAGATTTTTTTTAATATATATATATATACAAATCAGTTTCCCATTGCAAGGACAAAAAAAGTGGTCCCCATAACATTCTATATACATAACAATCCCCCCCTCCCCCCCCCCCACACACACACAGACAGAAATTCTGGGCCCAGAAATGTCACCTTGGGTTCTCTTCTACAGTTCTGCCCAGTATATTTTCCGAATGTGGGGATATTCTGGAGCCCCAAAAACGTGCAGGGGGCCTCGAAATTGCCAGGACCTCCAAGCCCCTCCAACACACACATACATGCACATAGACAGAGACACACGTATACAGAGACACACATATACAGAGACAAACATATACAGCCAGAGAGACACATATACAGACAGAGACACACATACACATAGACAGAGACACATATACACACAGAGACACATATACACACAGACAGACACACATACATACAGAGACACACATATACAGCCAGAGAGACACATACAGACAGACAGACAGAGACACACATATACAGACAGAGACACACATACATACAGACAGAGACACATATACACACAGAGACACACATATAGTTGGGGGAAGAGGAGATATTTCTCTTGGATAGCTCCCCACAGCCCTTTATTCTGAGGTGTCTGAAAGAGGAATAATTGAGTGAGCGATGCGGGGGGGGGGGGTACCTGCGTCTCCACATCCGTGAGCTTCCGCGTCTGCTCAGCGGTCTGGGACAGCAGGCTGGTGCCCATTTCCAGCATGGCGGCGGTGTGGTTGTGCACGGCGCTCTGCCGCAGCTGCACCATCTCCGACCTCATGCTCTCCTTGATGTAGTTCTCCAGCTGCCCCCGGGGAACACAAAGGCAGAGGCGTGAGGGCAGAGCTCGCCCCGAGACGGGGCCGCAGACTGGGGGAACGGAAACTAAATTCCTCTCCTTCGTAAAGTTTCAGTAAAATGTTCATGTCGCGGGAAAGCTCTCTGAGTACAGGCAGGGAGTCGGAGGATGTCCAGAAACAGATGTGGGCAATTTGTGAAGGAAGCAAAGGAGGGAAATAGTCGAGCACACAGTGAAAGTTTATCGTAAATGAGCCCCTTTCATCTTTATCTCCTGCCTGAGTGTTCGACAAAAAAGACGAAGACTTACACACGCAAAAAGCATTAACATGGGATAAGCATTTCTAACTCTGCATATCCTACCGTATTGCGTTTTATGAATTTGTGACCGCAGTTACTCTAAGGCTAAGCAGACATTTGTGCTAAAAACGTTGTAGCTTTAAGAGGCTAAAGTTTCTTGACTATCATGTTAGTGTAATCTGCAAAGCCTTGAAACACTGACGGCTTTGTCAGCTAACTCCGTGAGTCAGGCTGCATAGGACATCGAGACAATTCCCAGAATAACAGACTGATAAATAATGCCACCCTCCATCCTGCTTCTGTTCCTGGCAGTATCGAGGAGAGGACAGCACACCATAAGAAACCAGTACCAATTTGTACCTTTGCTTGTTATTGGGGCTGTACCCTCAAGGGTCTACCAGTTATACTCTAGCTGTAGGTAACTGTACCTTTTAATGGGGTACAACAATGTTGTTTGTACCTTGTTTGTACCTCAGAGTTAATTTCTGTAACTTAAAAATTACAATTACCTACAGCTAGGGTTTTTCTGACAGCACACATAACGAATGGGTAAAACACATGTTCATAAGCACATTTGACATGTTATTAAACTGCACAATGAGATAATGCACAGATTAAAATCTCTTACCTCTTGCAACCCTAAAATTTTTTTTAAAAAATGATGTATTAAAACTGTTCTTCACATTAAAGGGTTAGCTTTTCTCTGATGCAATGACTACAGAGAGAAAGACTCACTAATGGTATGAAGTCAACTCTGAATATGTACAAACGACCGCTCTTTCAGTGTTTAAAATCTAATACCAACATTATCTCGTTAACTGCAGGACCATTGAAGTTAAACCGCTATAAGTTACACATGCTACCTGTATGTCAAACAGGCATTATGTAATCAGTCAGAAATTCTACAAAAGCCCTCTTTATCATTCAGGTACACTGATATAGATGTAAAGAAACCACAATCTTAAAAACTAAAAGGTGCTTTTATCTGAAGCAAACACTGCAGTTGTTTACATAGCATACAGACAAGCTGGAGTTCAGTCAGTGTTTGTCCGCGTCCTGTTTCCGTTTTTTTTTTCACAGTACAGCACAGGCAGGGGACAGGTGTGACTGACCACTTGACAGGGAGTAGGGGCTGTGTTCAGGGAAAGGTCAGTGACAGTGAAAATAACAGAGGAAGCGTTTGTTTGCAGAGCTCAGCATCTCTGCATTGTATACGATGAATCACACTGTACGGCATAACAGCACAGTCAATACAATCCTGTCTGTTTCTGCTTTACTAATTATTCCTTAAAGAAAACACTTTACTAAACGTGAAAATGGATCAGCCCCCTGTATGGGAATAAAACAAAGTTACTATGCAACAAATATCTCACTACATTTCTGGGGTTTATGCATCCTCAAGGGATCAGAACTAAATGACGATATCCACAAAACAAAACCAAAATACTTGTATTATAAATTACATTGCCCTTTTCCAGATTCACTTATCCAAAACAAATCTGATGTTAAAACAGAAAACACAATGTTCATGGGAGTTTTACTTACACAAAAATGTTCTGAGGGAACAAAAAATGATTGGTTCAGAGAAGTGACCAATCAGATTGAATAGAAGGTGGGTCTAAGCAACTAGAGGAGGCCGGATCAAGACATCTGAATGGCTGGTCCTGCCTCTTCTAGTTGCTTGTTCTTGCCTCCTCTACTATCTGATTGGTTTTCTCTCTGAACCAATCATTTTTCATTCTGCCCTCAGAGCATTATTGTGTAAGTAAAACTCCCACAAGCAAACACAATACAAAATTGCTAGGTTGACTCTAAATTACTCCTAAACAGCCCCTTCCCATGAAGACATGGGCTGAATAGAAGAGACATGAGCTGTCCACCAACACAAAAGTACATGGTGTGTATGTTAAGAGGAAACCACAGCGCTTGCTGACCTCATTATGCAAGGTGGGTGGACTGGAGAACAAGCAGATAGTGTGCTGATCAAAGGCAAGCCCTTGTAACCGGAATGGAGGTCCTTTATTTGAGTAAAGTTTAGACTGAACTGGGTAAAGCATGCAGGAGGCAGGGCACGACACAAAGAGTAAGCTGTGGAAATCGCAGTGCCTTGTTTACAGCACTACAGACAGACGTTGCCACATGGCATCATCTCCACAGTTAGCTATGTTTCTTCGGGTCTTCTTCGTATGAATGACCATCGTTAGTATTCTTCTGTTTTTGCACTAGTTTCGTAATGGAATTCACCAGATTGCTGGTGGTGAATTCTCCGTAATGCTCCCTGCTCCAAATACACATGGGCTTCAGTCGGAAAGCACCTGGACTTTGTACTCAGGAGCTAGGAGGGTAAAGTGTGTTTAATGTCCAATATGACTGATGTGGATCTTTGCTTTCACACCTACAATCCCTCTGGGTAATGTCTGGAATTGTTCAGGGTGGCAGTGCATGTTTGAAAGGGACCTGACACAGACAATCTTCGCTTGTATGCCAGCCTCACATCACCAAGCACAATGCCAAGCGTCGGATCTAGCGGTGTAAAGCGCGCCGCAACTGGACCCTGGAGCAGCGGAAACGTGTTCTGTGGAGTGGCGACTCACGCTTCTATATCTGGCAGTCTGATGGGCGAGTCTGGGTTCAGCATATGCCAGAAGAACGTTATCTGTCTGACTGCATTGTGTCGACTGTAAAGTTTGGTAGGAGAGAGAGAATAGTACGGGGTTGTTTTTCAGGTTTGGGTTTGGCCCCTTAGTTTCAGTGAAGGGAACTCTTAATGCTTCAGCTTACCAAGACATGTTAGACAATTATATGCTTCCAACTATGTGGGAACAGTTTGGGGAAGGCCCGTTACTGTTCCAGCAGGACTGTGCACCAGAACACAAAGCAAGGTCCATAAAGACATGGTTGGGTGAGTTTGGTGTGGAAGAACTTGACTGGCCCACACAGAGTCCTGACCTTGATTCCATCAAACACCTTAGAAATGAACTAGAATGGAGATTGTGAGCCAGGCCTTCACGTCCAACATTAGTGCCTGACCTCGAAAATGTTCTTCTGGATGAATGGCCAAAAATTGCTACAGACACACTCCAAAATCTTGTGGAAAGCCTTCCCAGAAGAGCGGCAGCTGTTACAGCTGCAAAGGGGGAACCAACTCCATATTGATGCCTATGGATTTAGAACGTGACGTCATAAAAGTTCCTGTAGGTGTAATGGTCAGGTGTCCCAATACTTTTGTTCACAATTTCTTCTTGAGAAATAACTGAGTAACTAATTTATTTGTATCTCCTCTCAAAGTATGTCAAAGTGTGATCCTTTGGATAATGTCCAAACCTGATTCTGCAGACAATGTCTGGAGTTTTTGTGTGAAAATGGTTTTAGACAATCGAATAAAAGCAAAGGCCAGGCCTTGGGGTCTCATTACACCAAGAACAGCTTTATTTTTCACTCACTGGGGGGTTTGAGTGCTGCTCTGAAAAGGAACAGTCTAATGAAGTGAGTCGGTAACCAGTCCCAAGCTGTAAAATTCTGTCACACGAAGCCAAACCCATCACTGGATACAATAAGAAAACATGCAAACGTGGAGCTCTAGCCCCAAAAATAATTCACCAGTGAGGCCAAAAATGATAAGAGCATTAAATGGTTTGAAACTGTACTCATGTGGAAAAGTAGAGTTTTCAGGGTAATTGCTATCACATTTTTCATCAAAGGATTAAAAAACAGAGCATGAAAATGAGATCAAAGGAGAGAGGCTATCCATTATGGAAATAAATTGGCGTGATTAAATTTAAATGAATGGAATAAGGAAATGAGTTACCATCTACTGCGTGGATGAGCGACCTTCCAAACAAATTAGCAGAGGGCTACTCTCCGCTGTCGCTCTCTATGATCCAGCCTGACAGATGTTTGAATCTTTTGGGTGTCATAAAGGGAAAGAACCAAGGAGAATCAAGAACAGAAAAACATGCACTGCAACGTAGGAATACATTTTGGGAAGCAGTAAAACCATTCTGCGTGGGCGTTCAGTTATTCGAAAACCCCAAAGCGGGCCACTCTGCCTGCTACAGGCTGTGCCTGAGACACTCAGAACTTTTAAATAACAATGTAAAATCTTTCATTGCCAGAAACCAGGAAGTAATATAGCATCACGTTGCCTGAATGGGTGCATGAAGGTCATAACAGAGTGATGGGTTACGTCCAATAATCGGAGAGATCATTTTTAAAAAGATCTGCTTGTGCTTATACTTTTAAGACATGTATGATGTTTTATTCAATACAAAAATTGATTTGTCTACAATAAAGTATTTACTCTAGAGGTACAGTGCACGAAAAGCATAAAATTATTAAAACATTAAAGAAAAAAACGTCCTGCATTTTATTTATTGGGTGCCTCTGTTTTGATTAGATTCGTTAGACACAAGGTACACCGGTTTTAAGAAGGAAGGCTACTTGAAAGAAAGGCACAAACTCTTCTACAGTATGGTTTCGCTCGCAGCATAATCATTACCTTGCAGCAAATATCTGTTCACATTCAGTAAAAACAAGAATATATACAGTCAGGCATCACGGACAGCTAAGTGCAGTATTGCAGTCAGCTAAAGACAGCTAAGTCAGCTAAGTTGCAGATGGCAACTTTTATTGAAAGTCCCAAATATGGCTTGATGTAATTGATCCCAGGTCCTAAATCCCATGGGCTTATCAGCTAGGTAACGGCCT